AAATATTGTAATATCAAGATACATTCAGGGAATTTCTCAGTGTTTAAAGACATTCATGCAGTTGAAACGGGGAGTTTGATGTTCCCCAACTGGTTGACAAATAGAATACAATTTAATAAGTTTTCAAAATTAATGAATACAAATTAAACTAAGAGCTAAAAGAACAATCAATCCTATTGTCACAGTGGTAAGGGATATCTTCTGCAACTCATACCTGCAATCAGCGTAGTCGTTTTTAGGGACGAAGAGGCCAACCACACTGTTAATTTAATTGTGAGCTTATCCATGCACAAATTCGATGCAACCCGAATAAGATGTATGTAATGGAGAAGGATTCGCCTGCGGTCGAAACTTGACAGCTGAAATGGAAGGTGACGGGATTTGATTGCTGTTCAATTTGCGGTGTGGAATCAATTTGAGCTTGATGGGAAATGTGAAATTCAATTTTACGTTCCGAAAGCTTGAAAATCTTTCATTTCAGGCTGTAGACTGCTTCAGACGATACAGTAATTAATAAGGGCTTGTGTTGCTTTTAAGCCTTTTTGGGAGAAACTGAGGGTTTTAGGCAACATTTCACCCTTTTCTGGTGTTGCAAAGCTGCCCAAGTCGTTGGATAACTTTTTCCCTCAGAGCCTTGCCCTTATTTTTTGGGGAAAAAGCAAAAAAAACTATGCTCTTAATTTGCGTTTGCTTAACTTTTCCTGCGCCTTATCTCTCCTTCTCGTTGGTCGTGTTTATTCGCCTCCTGCAATGTCCACAAACTTTCATCTCGGTAGTTTTGCTATCTAAATGGCTTAACATTTTCATTCAGTTCTTCCTGCCGTTCCGTGCAAAGTTGCCTGAGCAGAGGGCGACGGCAAGTGTTTAACTTCTGGCAGCTGCCGCTCCACTTTGGCCACGCCCACCCGCCTCCTGGGAGTTAATCGGGTCATAAAATGTCTGACGCAGCCGCTCCTTTGACTCCATCAACTGTCTCCTGGGCCATTCCACGTTGCGGGAAATTGTGAATCTCGTGATGGATTCCGTTTTGCGATGTACCCTGATGCCCACGGAAATGGGTGAGTTAGAGCCAGGTATTTCGAGATACGGGGTAGCAATATCATAAAACGTTTGCATGAGATTGTTGAAAGTGCTGGGAACTGAGAGTAGATTGTTGGGAGGGGAAATTGTGCTGCACATTCTGAGAAAATATTCTCTAGGCCTAGTAACTTGTGCCATAACTTAAAAGCTTACAAACAAATAAGTAAAGAACTAAAATAATAGGTAGGGAAAAGGGTTTCATCTATTAATAAACTCCATAGTTCGGGAAAAATGATTTGAAAGCTCTCCGTTCTGAACTAAGTAAGTCATCAACTGTTGCAGCATCTCATTCCAAACGAAACACTAATTTAAATTACATAAAAGTAAATTACATGGAAGTGTGATTCTGTAATTATTACCACAATATATTTATTAAAATACATCAAAGAATTGTGTAAATTAAGTCTGATGCCATGCACAAAATTCTGTGACATAATCATAGGGAATTGTGCAAATATTTTGTTATATATATATTTTTATACCCGTTACTCGTAGAGTAAAAGGGTATATTGTATTCGTGCAAAAGTATGTAACAGCTAGAAGGAAGCGTTTCCGACCCTATAAAGTATATATATTCTTGATCAGGGTCACTAGCCGAGTCGATATAGCCATGTCCGTCTGTCCGTCTGTCTGTCCGTCTGTCCGTCTGTCCGTCTGTCCGTCTGTCTGTCCGTCTGTCTGTCCGTATGAACGCTGAGATCTCGGAAACTATAAAAACTAGAAGATTGGCATTTTGCCTGCAGATTCTAGGAGTTCCTACGCAGCGCAAGTTTGTTTCAAAATGGTGCCACGCCCCCTTTAACGCCCACAATCGCTTATATACGATTTTAAAAATTTAAATATTTCGGAAAAGTAAAAATGCAGTTTTATTGTGTTTATCAATACCTATCGAAATGTTGAAGAAATTTTTCAAATCGGACCATTCGTTAAAAAGTTATGCGTGATCAAAGTTTCTATCTCCATCTCCCTCGCACTCCCTTTACCTGAGTAACGGGTATCTGATAGTCGGGGCACCCGACTATAGCGTTCTCTCTTGTTTATTTTAATATCAATCTAGTGTTTTTTTTAGGTTTTTTATTTTGTTGTAATATTTTTATTTTGTATTCTACTATTTGTAGATTCTAAATTATATGGAAAATAACACTGAAGCATACAGTAATTTCTTTTTGAATTCTTTTGACAATCGGCATATTGTTTTGTGAGCCAAATAATCTCTGGAAAAGTCAAGCAGATGTTCTCGGCAATTTATGCAGAGGCGGAAGTAATTCTGTGATAAGTTTGGGTCACCGTCAGCCCGCTGGTCCTCGAATCGAGGGGGCCATTACATAACACAGCTCCGTAAAGTATGCAACAGCTTCGGGAAGGAGTCCCGCATAACTTAAACGGATTCCACTTCTCCGAGTGCATGAACCCATGGCTTGCATAATTTAATGTATTTAACTCCTCCTCCGTCAGCTCCACTTCCACTTCAACAACCACATCCACTCCAGCTCTATGCTGATGCTAAAATGCTGACACTAAGCACATGCTGCAGCTCCAGAGTGCAAAAAGTTCGCCAAAAGACTTTGCCCCTGTTTTCATTTAATTAACTTGCGACTTCCGGTGGAAAAAATCTTTAACAGTGATCTTTAAAATGCTTCTTATTGGTACGGAAATTAATCGATTGGAATGAAAGTATTGAATTCTAGTTTAAAATAAGACTTACAAAGTGCCTGTTGATTCAGATCAAGAATATATATACATTTCAAGTCTGAGATTGTCTTTTATAACGGGCTTAACCTTATTACTGAAACTATAATATAATAATACGCATCTTATTTACAAAAAACATTACATTTAAATTGATTGATTTTAAATCATATTTTTAATTAACCTGAAGAGGGTTAAATATAATCTTTGAATGCAGTTACTGGTATCAATTTCTATACAACGGCTTTTTCATTTTTCTGGTAAACAACTCCACGTATATACATATAAATATGTTATCTAAAATGCAATCATTACATGTTCACAGCCGGTATTATTAATTCTTAATCTAAAGCCCAAGCACTTGTGGCTATCAGTTTTGTTTTCATGTGGATCGCTACTATCAGCGATTGCATTAAATGGCCATCCCAAAATCAGCCCCTTAATAGTACGTTTCAATATGATAATTTTATGCATCTTGTGAGTTGACCTTATGCCCGTAAAATGACAGCATATGCAGTTTTAAATGTTCAATTAAAAAACATTTATATGTATCGTCATTGCTTAAGGGAGCTTTTCAATTAAAATCGATTTTCAAACCAATATTTTTCTTCAAAGATTCTTGAACTTTTTTAAAATGCTTGTTTTGTTAAAATTTTAATTAACGAAACCTATTTTACCATTTCTGGGATAGATTAAAGGCAATCCCATGCCAACTCTCCCTATCGGTGTGCGATAATTTTAATTAACCATTACTGAAATCACAGCTGCGGCAAAGTGCATTGCTGACGTTCTGGGAATCGGTTTTGTGTTTGTCAGTTTCGCCATCCGCAAAGCAATCCACTGGGCCAAGCCCACTCCCACATCCCCATCCCCACCCGCTCCTCCGGCCACATGGTGCTCCATCGTTTTTGGAACAGCCCGTGCTCTCGACCCAAATCCAGAGTTGGCTCACAACTTCCGAGGCAAGGACGAGTGGGGATTGGGCTTGTCTGTTTTTCGAGCCAAACGCTGGGCCAGCATTTTGCTCTATCCAAATTTAATTAAATTTTTTGTGCACGCGCACACACACTCTGACACTGGCAGAGGACGACCTACTTGCGTTCCCAGGATAAAGGATAGCACTATCATCGTTTTCCCTGGCTGGAGCGCTTTTCGCTCAAAATTAATTGCAGGAAAGTATGGTGGGGAAGTGGGGTTGCGGGGTTACGTGGCTACATGGCTACATGGCTACATGGCTATATGGCCATATGGCCACGCCTACTTGTTGGCCAAGGCTTCGAGATATGGTCTCCGAGTTGCGACACCTCTAATTATTCCCAAGACCAGGAAGTCGGAGCACACATTCGCACCTTGCGCCTTTGTGTGACTCCCACACACAAACACCTACGATTGCGGTCACAACAATAGTGTTTAGAGAGTTAAATGTCATTACCACTGCTTATGTATGTGACTGACATTTCCGACCCTATAAAATATATGCATATACATTCTTGAAGAGCATCCACAGTCAAGTCGATCCGATCTAGCGGGTATTTAAATCTGAGGCTGGTAACTAAAAACTGATTATATTTATTTATAATCTTGAGTGTCGATAATGGTGCATTTTTAATTAATGTAAACTTTAAATAAAAGCTAGTAAAAAAATTAAAACAATATTTTCGTAGTTCTCTCGATGCTTTCAAATGGGATAAACGATTAAAAGTAGAGTACACAAAATTGTCATGCTATTATTTCCTGATGCCTGTTGTTTTTGTAGTATTTTGCCGAAGAATCATTGAACATAATCGAATCCTTAAATTATTATTATAATTATGTATTATTATAATTTTTTTGGAAGCCTTTCGTATGTAATAGAGTGGCAGTTTTTATTGTATTACTATATTGCTTTGTTAGGCATTTTCGACGAACATAATTGAGTGTATTTACGCACCGCTACAATTGTTTTGTGCGCAACTGCACATGCGCTGTACATCCATAATAGCCTGCACGCAGTTTCGCTAGCGCCACAAAGTATGCAAACATTTCGTGGGGCATTGTTTTGACCCGCCAAACCCGAACCAGCCCTCCTCCATTTGTGGTTTCGTCGCCTCCTCGTGTCCGCGTCGATAGTTCGTGCTCGTCTGCGTACCGGTCTGTTGCTAAATCGTCAAACGTAGGCTAAGCCCTAGCTACCATATCTATTTACCACACTGCCATGGCATAGACCCCACTAACACCACATACACTTGCAGTGCGCAGCTGCCGAACGGGCAAACAGGTGCAGATGACCGAGGCGGAGGTGCGCGGCCTGTGCCTCAAGTCGCGCGAGATCTTCTTGCAACAGCCCATCCTGCTGGAGCTGGAGGCCCCGCTGATCATCTGCGGCGACATCCACGGCCAGTACACAGACCTGTTGCGGCTATTCGAGTACGGCGGATTCCCGCCCGCCGCCAACTACTTGTTCCTCGGCGACTATGTCGATCGGGGCAAGCAGTCGCTGGAGACCATCTGCCTGCTCCTGGCCTACAAGATCAAATATCCGGAGAACTTCTTCTTGTTGCGCGGCAACCACGAGTGCGCCAGTATTAATAGGATTTACGGTGAGTTCGAAACTGAAAAGCATTATTTTAATTATTTGCATTTGATTTTTGTTTAAATAAAATATCACGAATTCTTTAGACGAAAATTCCAAACCCCGGATGGAAGGCGGACTAAATCCAATTCTTTAATTCCTTTAAATTGTTTTTATTATTCCTTGTGTTACCAAAAAAATATAAAATTAAAACGAGGGGCTATCTGTTTTTGTAGGATTCACAATACCGTAAATATTTCAATAGAGAACTAGATAAAAACAAAAGGTTATTTAGTTTTAAAGATACATTTTTCTGACTTTGAAATTTTAGTTTTTTTAATTTTCCTGGATTTTGGATTTCTTAAAAGGTTTTTTTTTTCTCTTTTTTATTATTTTTTGTTTTATAGGTATTTATTTTCTGGTTTTTCATATTTCCTTAAAAAAATTGGTATTCACTGTTATAATATTGACCCCTCATCCTGTCTGCAGGCTTCTACGATGAGTGCAAGCGCCGATACAACGTCAAACTGTGGAAGACCTTCACGGATTGCTTCAACTGTCTGCCGGTAGCCGCCATCATTGACGAGAAGATCTTCTGCTGCCACGGCGGCCTCAGTCCCGATCTTCAAGGCATGGAGCAGATCCGGCGGCTAATGCGGCCCACGGATGTGCCGGACACCGGGTTGCTGTGCGACCTTCTGTGGAGCGATCCCGACAAAGACGTTCAGGGCTGGGGCGAGAACGACCGCGGTGTGAGCTTCACGTTCGGCGTGGATGTGGTCTCCAAATTCTTGAACCGGCACGAGCTCGACTTGATCTGCCGTGCGCATCAGGTGGGTCAAATGAATCACATTGTCCACAAACAGGGTGTCTCACAAATTAAAATCAGAAAATATAATTAAACTTTTAAATAGCTAAAATCCAAGTTCGATAAACCTTTTTTAAAATATCAAAAAAGTGATACTCGCATTTATGGAATGGTTTAGGCTATTGACATTTCAATTTAAAATAAAATTTAAAATAAATAAATATAAAATATTATTCTGAATTTTTAGAATACTTTTTTGAAACTGCCTTGTATAATATTTGTATTAAACATGTATTTTGGCGACATTGAGAGACGACTTTTTCTAATTTAATTAATGTTTCAAGATGATCCTAACGACTTCTACTTTTCACAGGTTGTGGAGGATGGCTATGAGTTCTTTGCGCGTCGCCAGTTGGTCACATTGTTCTCGGCGCCAAACTACTGTGGAGAGTTCGACAACGCCGGCGGCATGATGACCGTGGACGACACGCTCATGTGCTCATTCCAGGTGAGTTACCCAACACACAATCCCCAGTGATCTGCGATCTATAGCGGCTTTCAATTGCAGATCCTGAAACCATCCGAGAAGAAGGCCAAGTATCTGTACAGCGGAATGAACTCGTCGCGACCCACAACACCGCAGCGCAGCGCCCCAATGCTTGCGACCAACAAGAAGAAATAATATATCCATCCGCTTCCATTTCCTTAAAGGTTCAACAAACAACAGAAATAAACTTTTACATAGATACACACATATATATACATATATAAATATAAAGGGATAGAGATAGAGAACGAAGGCGACAGTAAATTAAATCATAAATGAAATGTGTGAGCCAACGATAACGAATCGAGCAAAATCGAAGTGCGTGAAGATAAACATTTATGTGTATCCGTCATTATCTGTAAACATATAGCATGTTTGGATTCCGTGTTTGTTAACTTGATTACCCTATCCGTGCACCTGCGTGTTGCAGCAGCAGCAGCAACATCAGCGGCAGAAACACCAGCAGCAGCAGCAGCAATTCGGAAACAACCACAGGCCCCAGTTAAGTCGATTCCTGCATTTGAAGATTATCTGTTGAATGGAAATTGTGACAACTCGCCCTACCAGCAGCTCCCATCCCCCAAACTCCCGAAACATGCAGATAAATAAATAAATTAAAAAGTACAGCGATGTTAAGCAATGAATTTATATATAGGCTTATTAATGTAAACTATATACGATATACTTATATATTCATAACTACAAGAGAGAAACGAAAACAAACCTAAAACAAAAATCAAAAATCAAAAAAGGGAAAGCAAAGTAGACGGCCGCTGTGCGGCTCCTTTGGGGTTGGCACAGTGGGACAAACTAGCTATCACTCTACTTTTATTTTTGGCCGAGCGCCGAGCTTACAAAATTCGCAGCTATTCGATTTTTGGTTTTCCTCCTATCAACTAAGTGCGCATTACAAACTTGTCTAACAACAACTTTAGAAAAATCAAAAAATAAGAAAGAAAATGATAAAATAAAAGAAAACGAAACGAAAACCTATGTAATTAAGCTTAAAACAGTTTAACTCTGTGTGTGTATTTTATTTATTATTTATCTATAAATATAAATATATGTTCTTTTTGTCATTGTTTAATTAATTTATTGCTTACATTACATTTATAAAATGAAAAACAATTAAACTCTAACATCTACATTTTGTCATTACACTCAGTTTAAGTGGCAAAATACTGTTAACCTGTTAATGGGCATTTAAAAATTGGGGCTTGTTTTTCAATGCCTAAACTTTACCTAGAAAAAATCCAACCTAACTTTAACTTGCCTCACACACAAAAAGGAAAATAACAAATAAAAAAATATTAAATTTAACGAATTTTGAAAGCATTACTTCGAGTACTTGAAACACCAATTTTTGTGCATATTTAATTTATAAATAAGAAACGGAATCCGTTAACGAATGTAGAAAGGCGAATAAGTGAATGGGAAAATATATGAAAATATATAAGTATATACAGAAGGAACGAAAGAGAAAACTAATTTTTTCATCGTCGTAACTTATTAGATTATAGTGCCTTTTTTGCCTCCCAAAAAAAAATCACAAATGATAACGAACGTGTAAACTAACAAATGGTTTATATATACAGATCATATACATATACAAATACAGCGAATGAAAGCTAATTAGAAAGACGAGTATTGCGTTTATTTTGTAACAATTAAAGTAACCACAGCTAATCCAATAGAGTATTGGAAACCTCATTCAATTCTATAAACATTTGTTTCAAATAAATATAACATATTCTACCGTTTATATCGACAATTTATCGAAAGACTGTAAGGGAAAATTGGAAAAGAATTCAAGAGAATTAATTTCAAAATTGTTAATTTTCAAAAGTGTAAGAATATTTTTGCTTATTTTTATGAAAGGTTTCAACTTATTTGAACAGTCAAACATTTTAAGGAAAAGTACACTTTCTATACAAAAATGAAATTATAAGCCCTAAAAGGAAAGAGTTTTTTGTGCGATACTGAAAAAAAATGATTTGCTATTTTTTAGTCAAGAGCAAGTGTGGCCTAAAATGTATATGCATCGAAAAAAAACTCGGGCGACAAACAAGTCAATTAATTGCATTAGAAATAAACCGAACAAGAGAAGAATGAAACAAATAATCAAAGAAACCGTGAAGCGATTTAGAATTTTAGCTTTGAGCTGTTGTTTTCTCACCCTCCTATTTGTTGTTATTCCGAATTATTAGCAATCACATCTCCCAATTATCAGCATCAGTTTGTGAGCGTGTGAGCTGCATTTGCATACAAGTTTTCATATAAATACACACACATGCAAACACACGAGAATTTATATGTATATGTATATATATATAAATATAAATAAATAAAAATAACAAAATATTCGATGTACTACAGTGGGAAATATAGAGAGAGATAAAGCAATACGAAAACACAAAACGTAAACCAGATAAATATATTTATTATTAAAAATCAAATAAAAATTAATTAAAACTTTATGTAAACAAAGCGTAGGGTGTTTTACAAAATATTTATTGGTCTCAAGTTCTCTGGATCGTGATTTGGTCTCTTCTTAAACCAGGGATAATGAATTCCTGATCAGTTAGCATTATATACAACGGCGTCAAGAATGTTCGTATGTTTTTTTGTGCAATGATTGTACAAAAAAACTCTTCTTAAGCTCAAAACTCATGATGAAAGTAACGCCTGCAGAAAAGTGGCCAAAAACCTACACTTCCAATCACAAAACTTTTCTTACAGACATCCGATTTCAAAGTGGCATACGTCTAAATGATTATGGTTAAATTATCTAAAACCTTGTGTTTTCAACTTAATTTGTATTTTTGGGTCCATTTTTTCGTAATTTTAACGATGTTACCCCATTCCAAATTTTCGAAAAACGGCTTTGCAAAAAAGTGACCTAAAACCTACACTTCTAAGCCCATAACTTTTCATACAGACATCCGATTTCAAAGTGGCATACTTTTAAATGATTGTGGCTTTATTCTTTAAAAAGCTGCACTTTCATCTTGGCTTGTATTTTTGGGTCTATTTTGAGTCATATTTGTGTAGAAATGGATATGACTAGATCGACTAGCCTGGTGGTTAAGAATATACATATTATATAGAGTCAAAAATGCGCCCATCACTGAGTTGCAAACTTTGAACTGAAATTATAAGTATAAAAATGATAAGCCTTTTATTTGCGCAGGATTTAACTCTGATATTTTTTCTGACCAGTACCCAATTTATTTAAAGTTCATAAATAAAATTGTATGCTTACCTTAGCGATTTCTTCAATCCCAAACAATCCCAATCCCAAAAGCAAAAGTTGTTTTTAAATAAAATTGGATACAAATATTATAAATATGTGCCATCGTCAGTAAACTTCACTTTTCAATTCGAAAAATAAATAATAAATCAATGTGGAATTATTTTATTTTACGCTTTTAAGGGGCTTTTTTTTATTTTGTAAATGTATTTCTTTCCTGGTTTAGTTCCTGTACCAAACTTTATGCTTACCTAATCAATTATCCGCACCAGAGCTTCAGTAAGCGGCGAAGTTCAGGCTCTGCAAGTCCCCTTCAAACCAGCTTTACTTAACTTATTACTCCGAAAAGCTTTTTGAGGCAAAAGCTACGTTCTGCCATTCATGTTAACTAACAGGGCCAGAAGCCAGGAGCTGTGGCCAACTGAGGGGGTGGTGGGGTTCCAGAGGGGAAGGTGTTTGGTTTGGTCAGCTTCATGCTGATTGCCAGAAGGCAAGCCATGTTAGCCAGCTAGTTCGCTTAATGGTTGGCTCGGGCAGCCAAATGATTTGGAACTCCTGCTGGGGCCTCCATCTCCCGTTTCCCATCTCCCCATTTTCCATTTCCCATTTCCCAACTTTAATCCACAAGCCCCCGAAAAAACCACAGCCATGCTGGGCGTGAAAACAAGCGAGATTTTTGTGATATTTTATGTTAAACATTTATTTCATTATATTTTCGGATGTGTTCTAGTGCGGTCTGTCTGCCCCCAGAAAACCCCGCCCACACCAAGATTCATCATCAATCAATTGGCTTCGCTATCTGGAGGTCCTGGAGACAGAAAGGACAGCAAAATAGAACGGCAAGCGGGGGAGGGGAGGGGGCTGGAAATGAGGGGAAACAAAAATGTTTTCGATATCCTTGGCTTCGATTAGAGACCATATCTTAAAGTAAAAGTAATGCAGTTGGGTTGGTTGGTTGGTTGCGATCGAGTCTTACAGGTAAATAGCCATCAATACAGTGTATACATATATGATTGTATATAGGGTTATGTATTTTTTGTAGTGTATTCATAGAAATGCATCACATTTAAGTTTATTTTTTTTTCGCCTTTGCGTTAGTGTAGTGTTTTCAAAATTAATTAGTAGCTTGGCTTTTCAAAGCAACATTCACCGAAATATATAATTTATCCATGTCTGTATATTCGAATATCTATATCGATCAGCATATTGATCTGCACACAGATTGCATAAGCAGAGTATAGCGATTACATTCATAAATTCATCTTTATTCCGAGTGCTCAATGTTGCACATTATCTCTAGACACATATACACATAGATATATAAATACTTGTTTTCAGTTTTCTGTTTTCTGTGTTCATATTCATATTGATAAATAATCATATTCATAGAAGTTTTCGTACAGCTAACATTAAAAATCTTCGATATCATAGATTTACTTTTCTTGGTGGTTTAAGTATGTCCCTCATCTTAGGACTGCGTCCTCTTAAATAGGATATTTCCACAATTCTTTCAAAACTCTTTAGGTATTCCATCAGTTTTCGATTTTCCAAGTTCCGGCCATGTGGCTCAATACGTTTTAAAAAACTATAGCTTTAGCGTTGATCCTTTGTGGGTCTTCAATAACTGTTCGAAACTTGGTCAAAACTATTGACAAAAAAATTTTTGGCTAGCCATCAATCTGGATGAAAGTGACAGATGTCCGCGTTTTCATTGTGCTTAATTTACCTAATTTGACCGTAGATTTGATTCCGCAATTTGCGACCATAATCCATTGACGTTGGCAACAAAAGCCAGAAAACTCACAGATATGTGTTGGGTTCCTCACATCCTTATGTTTTTTTGGGTGTCTGGTGTCTGTAATTTGCTCTGCTGGTTAGTTTTTGTAAATACTTTTTGTCAGTTTGAAACCGCAACGAGATTCGCACACAATTAGCTTGTATTTGTTTGCCCTTTGGCCTCTGTAATATTTCATTGTCCTTTTGTAAATACACATCAAACATTTAGTATTCGGTAAATATATATGTATGATTATTTAGGTAATACATAGTCGAATAACCCTAATGGTGACATCGGTGCGATTTAAAAGGACATTCAATTGGCATTGATGTGGAGTAGTGGATTAATACGGATTTTATTTGAACCACACTCACTTACGATCTATGTAAATAATTAGGTGACTGTGCCTTTGGCTTGGTTTGCTTTCGCTGGATAATCCATCGGGTCTCGCGATTTAAACTTGTTGATACCGACTTCAGCTAGACTAACCTGCCAGTCCACACAAAATATCATCAATTTCAACGCATTGCATGGCTAATATCAAATGATACGTCTTAACACTATTAACTTAATCAATCGCTGCCTTTACGTTTAGCTCCTTCGCTACTTTCGTTCACTTCGATTTAGATCGAATTGCAAAAATTTCACCTCGATTCATTGTCCAATTCCTAGGGAATACCGTCGCCAACTAATGAGCCCGCTAGTGCCCATGTCTACATATGTTTTCGTACTGCCCTCCACTCCTGGAAACCTTCATCTGGTAAGTATAATCTCTCTCCAAGTGCCCACTCATTAAATGGGTCTTCTAACTCCTAACTCCTAACTCCTAACTCCTGACTTTCGACTTCTGAAACCGAAACTGAATGGTTTTTGCTTACATTTACAGCTGGGTTTCATATACTACTGCTGGGGTTGCTATTTATATTTTTGACCTAACAAATTCATTGGTATTGAATTTATATTTGGAAAACATTTATAGATTTTTCAATCGCAATTGTTTTATAGCCCATTGTTAAGTTAGAAATATAAATAGTAGCTCAAGCTGAAAACCGTTGTTTTACCCCTTTTTGGAAAACTTGTTAAAAATTTGAATTCTTTATATAGCTTGTTATTTTTTAAGCTGCTTGTTAAAAGACTTTAAATTAGAAAGTAAGTCCGTAATTTAAAATTTTGAGTCAATGAGCCTAATATTTTATACACCACAATTCGTATCGAAATTTATGGGTGCTGAATTATCTTATTGTACATAGCACTTTCAGACATCTTTTTTCAAGTGATTTTAAATCACAAGAAAATTATGTGCTACACATTTATATTTTACTTTAGTGGTTTCGGTTTTTGATACCGAATAGCCTCTTGTGGAAAATGATAGTAGATTTGTTTAACTAAAGTCTTGGCAAAATTAAAATCAATATTGTTGTAAATAGAGCAAACAAAAATTATATTTAAAACAAAATCAAAAGTAGTGACAATTTAAAATTAAATATTTTACAAATTTTGAAGAATTAAATGAATAGTCTCTTATGTAAAAAATTATAATTGATTTATTTTGGGTTATTAAAATTAATATCCTTACAAAAAGAACAAATAATGAATTGATTAAAGTACGATTGCATCCAAAAAACAAGAAAGGAAAGCTAACTTCGGGCGGAGCCGAAGTTGATATACCCTTGCAGAATTCTCTATAATAATATTCTCCAAAATTATTCCTACGATGCATTCTTAATACTCATAAAAAATCCGAACTTCCTAACTTTAACAACAACAAAGTTATGGCATTTCCAATCGTTCAGTTATATGGCAGCTATAGGATATAGTCGGCCGATCCTTATGAAATTTGATAGGTCGGATTGATTGGCCAAAAATAAAATCCATAGAAAATCCCAACTTCCTAACTTTACAAACACCAAAGTTATGGCATTTCCGATCAATCAGTTATATGGCAGCTATAGGATATAGTCGGCCGATCCTTATGAAATTTGGTAGGTCGGATTGATTGGCCAAAAATAAAATCCATAGAAAATCCCAACTTCCTAACTTAACAAACACCAAAGTTATGGCATTTCCGATCAATCAGTTATATGGCAGCTATAGGATATAGTCGGCCGATCCTTATGAAATTTGGTGGGTCGGATTGATTGGCCAAATATAAAACCCATAGAAAATCCCAACTTTCTAACTTTACAAACACCAAAGTTATGGCATTTCCGATCAATCAGTTATATGGCAGCTATAGGATATAGTCGGCCGATCCTTATGAAATTTGGTAGGTCGGATTGATTGGCCAAATATAAAACCCGTAGAAAATCCCAACTTTCTAACTTTACAAACACCAAAGTTATGGCATTTCCGATCAATCAGTTATATGGCAGCTATAGGATATAGTCGGCCGATCCCTTTGAAATTTGGTAGGTCGGATTGATTGGCCAAATATAAAACCCATAGAAAATCCCAACTTCCTAACTTTAAAAACACCAAAGTTATGGCATTTCCGATCGTTCAGTTATATGGCAGCTATAGGATATAGTCGGCCGATCCCGGCCGTTCCGACTTATATACTGCGTGCAAAGGAAAGAAGGGTGTGTGCAAAGTTTCAATTCGATATCTTTAAAACTGAGAGACTAGTTCGCGTAGAAACAGACAGACGGACAGACGGACATGGCTATATCAACTCAGGAGGTGATCCTGATCAAGAATATATATACTTTATAGGGTCGGAGATGTCTCCTTCACTGCGTTGCACACTTTTGACCAAAATTATAATACCCTCTGCAAGGGTATAACAAGATGACCTAAAAATAGTAAAAATAAGCAACAATTTAGAAACAATGACCTGAAAGATGAAATTTGCCCTTATATTTAGGTCAAATACTTGTTTTGCTTTTGGCACAAAACTAGTTGGCCAAGATTAATGGTAGGCCATCCTGTAAAATCGCAATTGGATTGGGGATGTCCATGGACGTCCCAATACCTCTTCTCCAAGCAGCTCCTACTGCTTTCTCTTGCGCTTGGCAAACATCTGGGACCACAATCAGAATCACACATTCGACGACTTGGGCACTGCTCCGGTCTGGGCTCCAGGGGCGTGGCCCACCTGCTCCTGCTGCCCCTGCTCCTGATCCTGCTGCACTTCGTCGCCGTCCGGCGAGACCCGCTGCAGATGGATCTGCACGATGTGCTCCTCCTCCTCCGGCAGCGGCGCCTGCTCCTCCTGCTCCTCCAGATCGCGGGCCAGGGTCTCGCTGCGCTGCAGCCGCCGCTTGTGGGAGTCGTTCCTCGGCACCGGCACCCGGATGTTGAACTCATCGTCCAGGCTCTCGATCACGTCCAGCTGTCCGGATGTTTGGGCACCAGCGGCGGCGGCGGCGGCGGCACTGGTGGAGGGTCCATCGCCCATCTCTCGCGCCTGCCGCCTTCCATTCCTCTTGCCGACGGGGGCATCCTGCAGGGCCAGGCGCTCCATCTCCAGGCGCAGTTCGCCGAGAGTGGCAGAGGCAAAGCCCGGCCGCTGGGTCTCGTCCACGTGGACCAGGACGAAGGGCAGCTTCAGGGACAGCTCCCCGCCCATACCGCTGAGGGTGAGCTTCACCTTGACGTAGTAGGACACGTAGATGGCGAACACGTTGCGCTCCTCACCGCCGCCGGAGTTCTGTCCATTGCCGCACTGGCCCTGGCCCTGGCCCTGGCCAGATCCCGGCTGCCAGAGGTGCGGGTGGGGGGTGATCAGGGCCGGACTGCCCAGCGGATGGCCGCCCAGCAGCTGGGCGTTCTGCATGACGAAGTGCGGCGAGCGGATGGCCGAGGCTGCGATGGCGCCGGTGATCTCATCCGGCTCGGTGCTCCGCTGCAAAGTGTCCTCCAGGGCGATCCAGTTCTTGGTGGGACCGCGCTGCGGACGCAGCACCACCGTGGTGTTCAGCGAGGCTCCGGCGGCCACCGTGCGGTCCACCGCCGGGATCAAGTTGTCCGAGTCGGCCACCACGTTCTTGAACTTGCCGTTGTTGAACATGCACACGTCCACGTGCTGGATGGCGCAGACCTGTGGCGAAAGGATGTGCATCAGAAATCGTGATGTTTGGGGGGAATCCCCGGGGGAAAACCAGGTGAGGAGTGTGTGTGTGTGTGATGTGAGAAGGCCATTATAGTGGTGGCCCAAAGGAAAAGGCTACTGGCAATCACGTGGCACATCCACATAACCAATCCGCAACCAAAGGAATCATGCAACTATGACTAACTATGATGTTTTCGTATACCATTACAAATAAACCTTTAATTTAATAGGATGCTTTAAAGAGTTGGAAGAGCTTCGAACTTAAACAGGGGTATGTGCAAATCGATTGGATCAATACTTTCAAAGAAAAAAGGATTCAGCTCGTTCAGTTTGCTGCGTCTCTATTCAATCTCCTTTTTCCCGGAACTACATAACTTCTACATAAAATAACAGATACATTTTTCATGTTAATTTCCAATCTGTATCCAGTTAATGGGTGACCTTTCAGGGTTTTAAAAAAAATGATACCACAATTTGATTAAATATAAAATATTTTACCCAAACAAATTATTCAATGAAATAAAAACAAATTTTAAAAAGTGTTTGTAAGCCCAATTCTCAGCATCTTTATAAAAATAGTTACATATAGGCAATCAAGTTGACAATTACCATATACTAAAGTTTCCTAAAGACAATAAGATTAATTTGTTGAAGCATTAACAATCCTTTCCCTGAATAATAATGATAGGAGAAAATATTACGATTTCCCAATAGAGTCTTGCAGCGTCACCGAAATCCCTTAACTCCATATACATACATAAATGGGCCTCTTGAGTCCTGTTTGTTTTTGGACATGTCGGGCATTATTTTACGACTGCGGCCAAAATGTCTCTGGCCCAATCTCCCATCCAATCTAGGATAATGCACTCAAGTGGTCGTGTAAAAATGGCCATTCAGAAAAAAACAAAAAAAAACAAGGGCAAACAGCAAAAATAATAAATTAAACTCAGGCCTGGCCTCACTTATTGGCAGCTCATCAGCGTCGATATCTGGTAGCCAGCTTTCCCTGCTTTTTATGTGCAATTTAGCCTTCATTTATTTGGCATCTGCAAACCAAAACCAAATGTCACCATTTAAGGAAGACGGAGTGTTATGAAACTGGCTAGATTGATACAACAAATCAAATGTATGTTACATATTTAGGAAGGAGAATTAAATAAGTTAGAAAATTAAATAAGAAATTAAAAAACTAACGCAGGATACCACATTAAGTCATAAACGTAACAATGCCTATTTTACAAGTTTTATATAATATCCCTAAAATATCCCAAAGGATACAGAAATTGAGAATTTGGCGTTTTCAATAGTACACCTAATTAACTTTATATGTTCCCCATATTTGCCTTTGGACACATAATGAATGAATATTAATTAGTTGCGGTATGTTGATTAGTTTCCTTAAATGAATTCATCTGAGCACCTAAAACAGGTCCCATTTTTGATTGTGCGTAGTCAAGAGCTCATGAAACTCATTCATTTCCTTCGCATCCATCAAAAAGTCTTTGTTGCCCTTTTCGATTATGTATAAATAATGAATAAATATTAATTGGTGAAGGCATTTCGATTCGTTTCATTAAACGTCTGCGTCTGTGTACCTTTTTCAAAGGCCTGTTTTGATTTAGCGCATTTAAGAACTCATGAAATTCATCCATTTCTCCCGCATCCAATCGAAATGAGCAATCAAAATCCTGCATCGACTCATTCAATTCGCAGTTTTCAATTCCATAAAGCATTTAAATGGCATTGAAACCCCCCCTCCACGAGTCCTCGCTCATCCAAGTCGCCTTCGTCCTTTGTGTGACTGCTGCGGGACTTTCAATTGGATGGAGGCCAAAGGACTTTTGGCCGCCTGCGAACTTGTTGCTGGAAATCGGGGAACAGATGTCCAAGTTACCCGAGGACCCAAGGTAACTTCCGACTTTCGCAGGGTGACTTTGGTTGCTAAAAAAAAACAGGAAGTACAAAGCAATCTCGGCATTCAGAATCGCACACACACAGAAATGTACATATTTAATAAGGCGCAAAGTGCACGATGAAAATAAAATAAACGAGCAGGAGGGCCAGCAGATTGCCCACCAGAAATCCCGACTTGGAACGAACATTTAGACTTTCCTCGCTTCGAGTGCTCAAGGGAAATGCAGAAATGGGAGTGAGGTGCCTGGGAAGGGCCATCAAATCAAATCGAATTATGCGATTGCATAAAAGCTGGCTGAGACTTGTCACAAATGAACAAGGACTCTGGTGCTCAGAATGGCCAGAAAAGAACACGAGCACTCCCTTTAAGGGAAAACAACAAGACCAGTTGGCATTATTATGTTCCGCTTTAAATTAATTCTAAGCCATTTTGGAAAACAAATTTGACAAAACAGGAAGTTTCACAGACTTTTTAAATTATGCATTGCAGATGTTCATTTAGTTTTTACTTTATAAACATTTAAGCTGATAATCCAAAGTGAAATCATAAATATTCGGCTCATTCAGCTTTAACCTGTTCGAATAATATATTTGAAGGCCTTATTTATTTTAAAGTAAAGTGCCTGTGTTTTTTCTTTTTAAAAATGTTAGCTGGACAAGCGAAAGACACTCATAATTTGAAAATTATCGTTTTGACGTCTGGATAAGGATATTTGGGTCATTAAGCTAAGAACCCATTTGAATAACAATTTTGTAAGCCAAAAAAGGTTAGGATTTCTTTTCAATGTAGAGGCAATGGCTGCAGTCAATCAATCAAATGCTCGCCTTTTTTGCGTAACAGACGATTATCCCAAATGGTAATGTGCTTCAGTTGGCTCTTTGATTGGCTTCGTTATGAATGTCCTGACCTTTTCTCTGCCTTTCCTCAATAGCTTTTGGTCAGCTTATCTCCACAGAGAGAAATTGCTTTAATTGATTTGTGTGTAGGTAGCAAATAAACAGTCATTTGAATCCCATTTTTATTCAACGATGAACGTTTTCCGATGGTTTCTATAAGACCAATATAAAACACTGGACTTGGGATATAACTGCTGAGTCAATATGTAAATTGTGTAATAAAAGAAGCTTTTGAGTGGCGACATTGGGAGCGAAGTAAACTTTATGCAAGAACATTATGGACAGCATTTCGAAGGACATTTTAAAGTCCTTTAAGAAACTCAGGTAAGCACATGTCCTTGTCCTCCGTCCGTCTTTAAAATCGCCTTCGATTTACCGTTTGCGGATCGTTATTTTCGCCCACAGACAAGTCGATTCTATGTGCAAACATATGTCATAACTTGTCTCTGCCGCTGACTGTATTGGAACCGTCTGTACCTTGGCTAACGTCGTCTTTTCATCAAAGAACAATGCACTTGGAAAATAATGGGCGTTCAATAAAAATAGACAATAACATTTGACAGGCGGCACCATAAAACATTTTCCAATGCGCACCGAAGACCTGAACTAAACTGAACTGAACTGACGTCCCCGAACCGTTTGTTTTCTTTTCAGTATTGAATTGTTTGCGCCATGCATTTTGCATCCGCCTCGAGCTCGATTCTGCTGTGTTTAGATGCGCCGCATTCTGTCGCACGGGTCCCCCATCTCGTATGCGTAATATCCGGTGCGTAATTAAATTTCGGTTCACTGCTCCAGTGGGCCAGGTGATTCTTTCACTTCAGTATGATATCGCTAGTCAATTTACAGCCACTCAGCCAGAAAGTCCCTAGCCAGCTTAGTCCTTTGTCCTTGGTCCTGGCACACACAATGGTCATTCTATTTGTATGTAAAGTATTTGGTTCGAATTCGAAGCAGAAAAGCGAGCAGTACAGGATTCGGATGCGGATTTTGTTTTGTCCGCACTGCCATTTCAATTCTTTGGGAATGCGTCTCTAGAAAAATATAATATTTCGCCTTTTGTTTATATTTTGATCGACTTTGACATCAAACATTTGGCATTGACAGAGCTTTTACACCCAAGACCAGTTTAAAATTAAAATTCAAGCCCTTGTCGATATTAGAAGTTCTTCTTATTTTTTAATAAAATAAAACAAATTTTTAATAAATGTTTTCAAAGCCCATAACTTTTCTTACAAAAATACGATTTGAAATAAGGGTGATTTAATTCTCTAAAAATCTGTGTTGTCACTTTAGTTTGTATTTTTGGCTCGTTTTTTCGTAATTTTTAATTTTAAGGGTAACACATTTCCAAAATTGTCGAAAAGTGGGTTCGAAGAAAAGTGGCTGAAAACCTTCACTTCTAAAGTTCATAACTTTTCTTACAAAAATCAGAGATCAAAGTTGCACACCTCAGAATGATTGTGGGTTAATTCTCCAAAAAACTATGTATTCCCTTTAGTTTGTATTTTTGGGTCGATTTTTTGGCATTTCTAATGAAATTTTCGAAGAATTGGTTTGCAAAAAAGTGTCAAAAAACTGCACAAGGATGGACTTTGTTTTCGTGTATTGACAATTATTTCTAAAGATCCCAAAAAAGCGGGTAGCGGGTGGTCTATTTAAAGGCAAATTAAAAGAAATCATATTTTAAAATAGCAATCTTTTAAATGATTGTAGTTTAATTCTCTAAAAATTTGTTTTCATATATATATTATATTCTTAGTTTGTGATTTTAGTCAAAAGTTTGCAACACAGTCAAGGGCACATTTCCGACCCTATAAACCCTGAAGTTTGCTTTCTTTTTCGTTAGTTGTTAATTTTAGTCAACGTTGGTTCCATAGTGACAATGTGTGGAAACAGCAATTCAGCTTGATGAGAGAAAACTGTGATCGAAACGTACTGCCAGTTCCTTCCGAGTGCTAGTGTAGACACGCAAAAAGGGATAACCGAGCAAAAAGCGAGGGGTTTTGGGACGGATTAGACATAACCCGGCACAACGTAAACTGTAGCACACTTTTGAGCGCTCCGTTTCCCGTTAAATACAGCATGGCTTTCAAAGGGGGCGAAGTGGGCGGAAAGGGCGTAAAGGGGCGGAATGGGCGGGTGTGAAACCACGTAGGCTCTATGAATGCCAAAGGAACCGGGCAAAAAAGGACGACCCGCCTCTGAAGAAGGTGTGTTGTGTGCGGCACACATTGAAAGGCAGAAAGGCCTTCGGGGCACAATAAAAAGCTGCCGAGCTGAGAAGGTGTGGGACGGAATAAAGCCCATAAAGTGTATAAACACAATTTTCACTTTAACTGCGTCTTTTGCCAGCCTTACACTTTACCACCTCCCCGCTGATTTCCCAGAATTCAACGGATTGCAATGTGATGGGGAGGGGGAGGGGGACTTCTTTCTTGCACTATGGGAAAAATTACAACATTTTGCGGCATTAATCTTCTTGTTTGAATTGAGTTTATCATAACAAATGGAAGATACTACATATTTTATCTGTAAATATAAAGGCCAAATAATTATAAACAATAATATGCATTTTAGCAAATTTAGTACTCTACAAAACGAAAGCAATTCCAACATTTGCATACCTTTTCAAAAATCACACATAATCTCAACTGGTTATAACTCAGAAAAAAATAAATTAATTTCTACAGTTCGATTCAGTTCAAAACATGCTAAAATGTAATATTTATTTAAGCCAATAAAAATGTATTTTAAAGCTTAAAGAAGTTATTATCCGAATAACTTCGCCATGGCGCGTTTGGTTCAACTTATTTTACGGAGCATAGCAGATTAATATTATTCTGATATGTGTAAGAAACGGCGACATTTCAGGAATGGGTCTTGCCCTTAGAAGTGACATCTTTTCCACAGTGCCTTGGCCTGACAATTTCATTCGGCTAAGCGCCATTTGCATATGAGCGTGAGTGGGTGTGCTTAAGGCATCAACTGCCTGTTCCGATCCCAGGGGATGGGGATCCCCTCGATTTGTCGCCGCCTTGACTTGCTGTCCGCCCACCCGACTCCCGACTCCCGATCCCCTGCACTTGGGCAGCCACCTGGTGCGTACGTAATCCTTCCAGTGCCCCATTGCGATTAAAACGCGGTGTGTGATGGTGTGTGGTGGTGTGGCACGGTGTGGTTAAAAGGCCAAGATGGTATTGTGTTCTATACTGGCACAAGCCGATTGCCGGCCATTCAGTCTTAAGCTGTCTATTGTTCTTCACACCAGAGGTCTTGCATTGGCATGCTGTAATTTCAAATTTATCTTCCTTAATTGGTCTGCTTAATCAAAACCAAACGGCAGACAATGGCGTAAGCTTACGTTCTCTATAACTGGAAATCAATCCACATCGTTATCCCTTTAGCAGCGAAATTCATTGTTCAATTAGAAGTTCTGGGACGGTAAAGCTCACAATCAGCTTAACTCGACTCCCTGCACTTGGAGAGTTTTTGATTAACTGTCATAACTTTGCCCTACCAAGTCCCAGCGTTTTCAATACAAATCACAATGAATCAATTTGGCAGAGTGCCTCGTCTTGAAGGTACCCACTAAGCACAATAAAAAAAGTTGTAAAAACATGGCCTTTAAGTTAAGAAAAAACCTTTTCTGCTTCACAAAAAAGTTGTTCTTGAATACAATCAAAAAGTATTTATAAATTCAAAGATGATTGTTTTTCTAGAAAGCAAGCAAAAGCAAACTGTTTCTCATTTAATGTTTTTCGAAAATAAGGATACTGGATATGAAATTAAATTTTTTTAACTCAAGTCCATATTTTGTTTCTTTTTTAGGATCGATTTCCCGTTTAGAATAACCAACAAAAAATGTTTTTTGTTTTTCACTGATTCTAAAGAGCATTAGGATACGTATTTGTATTTTACATTTGTTTATAAGTTATCCTTACTCTACAAGATGTGGATTTAAATGTTGGATGATGGATTTAAAAATAAAACATGATTGATAACGGGGCGTATGTACCCTAATAATAATGGGTACGAGAAGCCTTAGCTGCTGCCTGATACCCACTCATTCTGTTTGCAAAGATGAAGTGCCGATGCAGATTATGCAAGGTGGTGTCTGTGTGGCTCACACTATTTACTCACGATGAATATAATTCAGTTTCCGCTTCGTTGCGATGGGAATCTTGTGGAACCAGGAGCACCGACTGGTAAGTAGCTCCAAGAGGCTCTAATCCTTTAAACATAATTATAGACTAAATAAGCAAGACCAACACTTAATTCGGCTCTTGTTTTAAATTAAGCCCTTGTGCTAAGAACATGACTTATTCCATTAAACTTGCCAAGAAAGAAAGATTATTATAGCTGTTTAAGCTCAAATTATTTTGTAAATAAATTCAATTAGCGCAGCAAAGAAGTTTTTCTGGTCGATTTCAGCTTAATGTATTTTCAATAGTCCGTAAAGTAGTTTTCCATCTATATACTTTCTAATTATTTATTTAAAATTGTTACTTTTAAATGTCTGCATCTTTTAAATACACTAATTACATGGCCATCAAAAAATTATTTAAATACTAATTTAAATTGTTATATCTAAATTCAATTACTCACTAGAAAACAATCTAATCAAAACTAAATTTAAGAAAGCCGAACACAGCCATTTCAAAGTCATATACTTTTTCTGGGTTAGACTGAAATGCAACAGTTTGTTAGCCTTCACTTTGGCCGCACCACGTTGCGTATACGTTATGCCATTTCCAATGATTGCCTGCATAACCAAGGACTGTGTGAATTTGTGGTTGATGCGGAATGGAATTGGAACGTTGAGGGGATTGAGGTACAAGGCTGCCACAAAACTTACCCGGACTTTGCGGACCGTCTTGCGGCTGTCGTTGCGAATATTGACGGTCACATTGACGTCCTCGCCGTGGGTGTACCAGCCCTTGTCCAAGCTGGCCCTCAAGCCGACCCGTCCGTCGTGCAGCAGGAAGGGCTTGTCCACGGATCCTTGGGGACCTCCGCAGGGGCCCACGCTCACGCCCCCGATCCCCCCGGTCACCCCGGCGCCAGTGTGCGGCGGCAACATGCTGTCGCAGTGCTGGAAATCGGGAGAACAAGTGGCTCATTTGGGTCCAAAATACTTCCAATCAAAGCCGCTTAAGTACACGGCACTTAATATTTATATTTATGCAACAATTTCTAGGGAGATTCATGGGAATTAAAGTATGTTTTCAAAGGTTACAGTTACTTAGAATATCTTACACTAGGTATTTGTGATTAAATTTACCTTTAAGAAAAAGTACTCAACAAGTTTTCTTAAAATATTAACTCAACATATTTTGACTAATATGTATATGAGTATAAATACTTGTTGTTCTTGAATATTAATAAAGATATATAATTCACTCTGCTGATTTTACAAAAAATATACAATTTTTACTTTATTTTTATTTAGAACTTTTACTATTGACTTTTGCTATTAATAAAATCAAATAACTTATTAGTTTAGAATTAGATATCCAAATACCTTTGCCAACTTTAATTTAAAAATAAAAATTATTAAAGTGTACCCAGTTTCTGGATATAATTTCTAAAAAAAACTATCACTTGCCCTGTATTTTTGTACAGGTCAAGTAATAACTTTCCTTCAAAGAAGGTCTGGGTGATTTGTTTAGGGACTCACCTCCTGGAAGGACTTGCTGTAGTTGTGGAACGGATCGTTGGGGCACTTCTCGATCTCGCTCTTGCTGCGTCCGAATCTTCCGCTGAATCGGAAGGACTTTGGCGAGAGGCGGAGCTTGGGGAAGGAGTCGCCCCGCTCGGACTTGGACTTGTGCTTGGATCCGCTCGACGGCTGCGATTGCGATTGTGAGTGTGAGTGTGAGTGTGCTGTCTGCTGGTCAGCGCCCTCGCCTCCGGAGGGGGGCGTGGCACTGGCCGGCGGCGACTGGGCGCCGTGTTGTTGTCGACCGGCGTAGGCGGCAAACTGCTCGGGGGCCAAGTGGTGGAAGACGTCGGTGCGATAGATGACCCGCACGCCCATCTTCACGGATGCCCGGCGATGGAACTTCTCATCCGTCTTGTCCGCTGGAGGATCAGTTGAGAGCGGGAAACGGAGGGGAGAACGAGTGAAACGGTGAGGGATAACACTGGTTAGCCATCGAGATTAAAAAAAATGAGGGATTTTCGTTTGCCGCTGCCGTTGCCGCCGCCGACGCTTGCTAAGCTTTTCAATTGATTCAAGGATTTCCTTTGCGAAATATCCTTTAATTTTGAGAGTAATTTCAATGTCCTGGTCCGTCAATCGTCCGAATGGCAAGTCATGAGTTCATGAGTTTTGTTTTTACCTCAGGGCAGGCAGGCGGCCACTTGAACGGATAGCGAACACATTGAACATGAAGTAAATGAAGGTGGAGCACACAGAAATGTAGGGAAAAAAAGTGATAGTGAAAGTGATAGTGACAGTGACAGTAATGAAAGTGAAGGTAATCTTGGAAAGATGGAGAGATGCAAGACGGGAGGGAACACGGAGTACTTACAGATGAGCAATTAACAGCCATGGAGATCGAGCACAACAACGGGAGGGATCGGGTGGAGGCGAAGAGACAGGGAGCCCAGTGTTGGGAAAGGTCGAACCAAGGTCGAACCTCCATAGCTCGTACGATCGCTCCTATAGTGCCGATTTCTCAATGTCATGTTAAGGTGCTGGTTTGCAATCTGTCAGAGGAAGTTAAATGGAAGTCAAATTGTAGGGTACTACAATTCGTTCTATTAATGAGTCTTATTTGTTAAAGCTGTTACGAAACTACTTCCGACACAGCACTTTAACTTTATATCAAATCTTGGCCTGACATTGAGAAATGGGCCCCTACTTGAACTCTTCAGGCTTCTAAGTTTTTAGGGGATTCAAGCTATGGAACTTCAACTGGTCTTTTTTATATCTAGGTAAAATAGCAGGTGGTTACACAATTTTCAATGTTCAATAAACATTATATGTTAAATAGGATCAGATTTAAGAAAAGTGGGAGTATAAATTCCATCATAGAACCTACAAAACCAAATACAAAACCGTGTAACATGATGCTTCAAACATAAAACTCCATTGTACCTAAATACGCGAGTGTTTCCCAACACTGACAGGGACATTTAAAATACAGAAACAAGCACAGAGATAAAGAGAGACAGAGAGAGAGGGAAAGAGGGAGAGAGAGAAAACAAGCCACAATACCAAGAAAAATCGCAAAACGAAACGGAGTAGAACGGAATAGTATGGAAGGGAAACTGAAACCGTAACGGAAACGGAAACGGAAATGGAAGGGAGCACGATCACGAGCAGCAACAGGATAACGACACCAATAGCGTGGCCGATCTGATACATCCGATACATTCACATTCGAAAGTCGAACTCGAACTCGAACTCGAACTCGGACCTCGACGTCCACTTGCCACATTCCACATTCACAATCAGAATTATTGCCTGATGTACCTTGGTCCGTGCACATACAGGCACAGCAGCCGCGGCAGCAGATATTTGCGACCCACCTGGCCAGCGGAATGGTATAGGGGCGCCTAATCTTGGGGGCCTCGGTTCGTGATAGCTCGTCGTCGGTCAGGAGCTCTATGGGATTGGATAGGGGGCGATACGAACGATACGGGATGAGGGGCGTGCGATCATGATTGGGGTATAAGTTATATGTGGTCCACATTCACCCAGGCGTACAGTGCGTCTCATAACACTTTAATAGTTACATTAATATTACACCAAAAACCATTAAGAAAATATAATTAAAGAATATTGTATGATATATTGACAACTTTTTTGATAAATGTTTAATAAGAGAAGTAAAAAAATGTGATGTGATAATCAGAACATCTGATTTCCAGTTTTTTTTAAAATGTTGGGACTCGTTCGATTCCTTATATTAAAAAAAAAAAGAATTTTAATGTTTCGTCGTATTTACGTCCATTAGAATTGTATATGTTAAGCAGCCTTGATATTTTGAATACTCCACCCTAAAAAAGTTCTAATTAACAAAGATTTGTGCGCTTAAGCCTGCTGACTTTACTTATTATCTTGAACCGTGTAATTTAAATGCTGCCTTGCAATAATTTTCAGTTTAAGCTGGCACGTAAATTGAAATAATTACCCAGACTGCTTTTATGGTGATTAAAATTTGTGAAAATGTTCACTGTCTTTCTCTGATCTCCTAACAATAATAAATGGGCCGAATTTCCAAAAATTGATTTGACCGTGCCTCTGCTTCTGAATTACTGAACAATGCAATACAAATTAAAATAGTACATTAGTGGGTCAAAAAGAAAACCTTACCCTCACCGTTTAATATTGTAGAATTAAAAAACTATTGTTTAATCACAGGCAACGGCACGTATGAGTGATATCTGAAAATTTCCATTTAAAATTGAGCGTTCTAGAGTACAAGCATTCAACAAGTTTTCAGTCCAAATTTCGCGAGCTCTAAGTTAAATAAAATTCAAAGTAATATTTCAAAATGTGTTCTAGCACAACAATCGGTTGGCAATCGCAACAACTTTATTTATACTAAATACTCAATGTTATTCAACACATTCGTGCTCCTATTCTTGGGCAGGCAATCTGTTCCGATGCGCTTACTCATCCCGTCAATAAATTTGCCAGTTCTTCTGGTAAATTGTGAAACGCACGGCTTCCGTTGGCCGTTGTCTTCGACCTTCGACCTTTGTCCTGCTGGCGATGCGGGGAATACTGGAGGATACTGCACAAGCGAGTGATTGTGGAGGCACAGAGGCATCAGCAGCAGGACCTGGCCAATCCCCCCTTCCCCCCCACCTAGTTTCCGGATGTCCTGCGTGAGTTGCCGGGGGCAACCGCAGAAGGAGCTTTGCATGCCAGATCCAACAATTGCACGATTGCCTGGAGACACAGGCGTTGGCCATGGGATGAAATCAGGAATCGGGAATGGGGAACGGGGAATCGGGGAATCGGGGAGGATAATTCTGGACCAAATCCCGTTTGGCCGGCGCCGTTGGCCAAGTCGCACAGTTTCATTTAACAGGATATTGGATGGCCCAGCCACAGTGCGTATATCGTGGCCCAAATAAAGTGAAGAAAACACAGAATCACGGACATATTTCGTACGACCTCGGGCGCCACGGAGCGACTAAAATAATATCAACAGAATCTCAATCTGGATCTGAATCTGAACCTTATCCGAATCCTGTGAAAGCGTTTAATATTGATTTTATAATACCCTTGCATTATGTTTGTGGCAAATCAGGCTTGCTATCCTGATCATTATACTTTAAGTACAAAAAAAAAACAAGTTCTTTTCAATTATAATAATATTCTTTTCAATAATAATTATTTCGTATAAAACGAAACTTGAAGATACTAAAGGTGGCAAAAAGACTATTTAAATTTAAACTGCAAGGGTATTCGTATTTTGGCTTGCCCATGATTACTTTCTTGTTCTTCCCTGTTTTTTATAAACTTTTTTGGTCCACTTTCAGAACACCCCCATTGAAAAACAAAACAAAGCCGAAAAACAAAAAACAAAAACCACAAGAAAAAAGAGCCCCAAGGAATCGTAACGAAAATCAATCACAAATCCCCCTCGTGCTGACGTCAGCGAATGATTCGATGGGCGCAGATTGAAGGGGGCGTGTCCGCTGGCGCACAGATGGATATTTATACACATATAATTGAGCCGAGTTGATTGTTACAGTCGAAGTCGCCACTGGGTTCAGTTGGTGACGACGTTTCGATCTTTGACGGCACATGAATGGGTTTGATTTGGAATGGTGGGTTGAAGGTGATGGGTGCTGGTGGGTGGTGGGTGGTGGGTGGCGATGGGTGGTGGGGAATGCCAGCAATGCGGGTGAGTGCTTCAGGTGGAGGCCTGATGTCCGTCTGTGACCCAGTCCCAAAACAATCCGCTCTAGACTGTCCCCAAATAGAAGGGCAACTTAAAGTTGGCCCAATAACTTAAGCCTTGGAATGACTGCCCTGTTTTATTTTAGTCACTTAGTTACTCTTTTCCTATTATATATTTGTTAACTTATTTACACATCATTGATTTTCTTCTTCACTTTAACTGGATGGTGACCTCATACTCTAGATGTTATAACTAGGGATAAAACAAATCTGTGCTTAAATAACATTATTATTTAAATAATAATAATATAAATAAAACAGTTTTTTATTAGTTAAAATAAAGCATTACGCATTATGTAGACTATTTATACCTTTCAAAACTACTACGAAGTTGTAAAATATTATTTAATGTTGCAGCATGGCACAAAAATAAATGCTTTAGAATTTAATACCCTATTTGTATGTAATTTATAAATAATAAAACAAAAATGGTAGCTTTTTTTGGAAACAGTCCGATTATAATCATATTTGTTATATACTTGCTTACAACAATAAACTTTTCGTCTATGATCAAATGCTGGTTCTATATAACTTCAAGGCTCTACTTCTATTGCTCCTATTTCATGAAATAAATATTTGGGCATTTCTTGTCCCTCTGACTATATCCTAACCATACTGGGGAATCCCCCGTGGGATCGGGGGTCGCAGGACTTACCGATGAAGCAGCGGACATCGTAGCTGGTGCCGATCGGAGCTCCGTAGTACCGCTTGGCCGGAACCAACTGGACACTGGGGGGGGCGTAGGAGGAGAGCGAGAGGGTGAAGGGGTGGGCGCCATCTCCCAGGCGCTTCATCAGGGCTTCCTGCAAGGGGGAAAATAAATGCGGCTTAGTGTTTCGATTGAAGTTGAAACTCGAGGCCCAAATCAGCATAATTACACAGAGCCGGAATATGTTAATTTATTTATTATTTTCTTATTGCGGCGCAAACAAAACCATTGACTGCGATTTTTTATGTTGCTGCTTCTGTGTTTTCGGCCAGCATTTCATTTGCATTTTATTAAGCCCATCTACATACAACTGTGTATGTACACTAGAGTGGACCTTCACTGGGAATAGCTTGTAAGAAGAAAACCTGGATATTTTCAAGATTTATGCTAATCCCTCTGCAACAGTTTCTGAACAAAAACCATGTTAAGTGTCAACAATATTTTAAATATTAAACTTTTAATACGGTTATTCAGCAGAAAACTTCATTTTGATTTGCCTTCCCATTAAAACACATTTTCACTCGGAATAATGGTTAACCCAAATGTATATTTTTATAAAAACATACATATATCTAGGTAAATATAATCGTTGGCACGTGTATTCTCGGGTTGCCGGGTCAACGAAAGCCACGTCCTTCGGACTTTCGTTGTACCAGATTCTCACAGTGAACAGCAAGCCACAAAAGTAAAAAGGTGCTTTATCTGTCGGATAGAGTAAGAATTTATGAAAGAAAACATGACCTAGTGGTCTTAGGTTTTAGCTTTCCAATGCAGTTTTAAATATATAATGACATTTAATTAAACTTTTCATAGAACTCCAAAGCAATTAAGATGTTCAATTTTCAGTTAATATTTGTTGTGTTCCTTTTTCCCAAACAAAGTATTTAATTCACAAGAAGAGAAGCAAGCCAAAGTTATTAAGCAATTGCTGTTATATGAAGTAGTATTATTAATTTGCTACACGATTTTTTTATAAATTTATTGAACATTCCTTTGACAGCTTTATGATATAGTCGTTTAATATTTGAATATTAAAATTGTAAAAACAACGAGGCTGTAAAGATTTTCCAATTATGTTCGTTTTAAATTTTCCGTACTTTTCGTATATTTTTCTCAGTGTACTATTCAATCTTTACAAGCCCCTTCTCATTTTTCTCGTCTGTTTGCTAAGGCCTATTTTTGGCCGGATTTTCTTTATCTTTGCGGGCTCTTGTCGTTCGGCAAGTTATTAAAATCAAATTTATTTAATTATGCGTGCGCCTGTGTGTGTTAGTCCCTGTATGTGTGTGTGTGTGTGGGTGTGTGTGTAAGGACCCTTAAAGAATACGGTTGCCTGCGAGTCCATTATGACGAAGTGGAGCGAGAAAACCCATTGGCTAACCGAATTTGCTCGGGAGTGAGTTGTCGGAAATGGGATGGCAAAAAAAATAAATTATTCCATGTCAAATTTAATAAAAATGCGAAAAGTTGAGTTTGAAATTTTCGGTCAGCTTCCCTCGTTTTTTCCACCTTCGCTCTTTTGTCTTTCGGCCATGGTCCAAACCATTTAAACCCCGTGCAAGGACCTAAAACAATGCACAAAGAATTTGAAGAGGCAACGGCAAACATTTGTTTGGCTTTTAGTTAAATGAAATTGATTTTCAATTGGTTTAAGTGCAACCGCTCGAAGGCAGGAAGATTCCGGGGGACAGCAACACCCATCACATTCGATACACATAATACACATTTATATATGTATGCGCACCAGGGTGGTTCAACCAAAAAAAAAATGGACTCAAACCTTTTCATAAAAATTACTCATGCAATGCGTATGCCAGTTAAAATTCCAAGCAAACATTTTTTTTAATCTCTTGTTGATTTTGTTCATATAAAAATCACAATATGGAAAAACAGAAAAAATATATTTTTTTTTGAAAATTAAACGGTGGTCTAACAATTACACTTTTCAACTTTTCTTTATAAATCATAAAAAAAGGGTAACAATTATATTCAAATTTTAAAAGAATAACTGTGGCTTTTAAAAAAGAAAATCTTTTTTTTTGTTCGAAATTATGAAATATACATATGTATATGAGTATTATTATAAAAACAAAAAAAAATGTTACTGTCGGATCGAAAAATGTTGTTTTTCTCGGAATGGTTGTGTAATTTTTGTGTTGCTGAATAATGGTTTCAGTTAGTTATTTTAAAGTAAGTTATTTAAGGCAACACTGCGTATGAGTGATATACTTTAAAGCCAATGCGCATACCCTAAAGCGAATTTTTGTTCAACAAATATCTTCTGCTATTATAAGTGGATGGGAACTCGACCTCGAAATGTTTGATACAAACTCGGACCGCCCTAATGTACACATATTTGTATCCAGGGGCGCACGTGAGCTGTCGGTATCCGGACGGACAAACTTAACGTGCTGCTCATAAAAATCCAGGACTAGTGGCTCCGGGGTTGATCCCGCACGCCGAAGTTGCGTCTCGAGACAAAATCGTCAGTTCGTCATGAAGAAAGTTAAACATTGCCATTCGTGCAAGGCAAAATGGATAATAATAATGCTGAGTTATATTTAAAATGCGGGGTACTAAATAATCATACAAAGTTCCTCGGTAAAAGCAATAAAAACACGATTGATAAAGGTTATTAAATTGTTGTTTAAAGGCACAACAATTTTCTAATTTCCTTTTAACAGAAAGGCAATTTTAAAATTTGCTCTCGTTTTAATATTAATTAGTTTTTAGCTTAAGTTTTCAACTTTTGTCTACAGTGTACAATTAAATAACCTTTTTATTTATAAGACTCAAATTGACTTTATGCCTATACTCCTATTCAGAATCTCAGTGTTGTCTATTGGGGACCGAAAGCATTTTAAAAATGGTTGCACTTAAGACTTCCTTTTATCAGTTTTTAACTGACCCAATTTCAGCTCTTATCGTTGAATTCATCTGAGTTAAAATTTCGCGGGGAAGTGAAACTCCAACCGCAGTCCCCCTGAAATCCCATCCGCTCCCCAATCGGGCGACGCGAAGTCGAGGTGCCAAACGATGGCGTTGCAAGCCCCTGCAAGTTGTCCAATTATTTATGGTCCTTCGCGGGCGGATTGATGGGGTGGGTTCGAAGGATTGGGCTTTGGGTATTGGGGGGATCGCTGGCTTGTGGGCTGGGCAATCCGCAGCGTCATCAATTGTTAATGCCAAAGTTGGACAGCTCAGCTGAGGTCTAAGCCCCCCTTGCAAACTGCCGGTCAAGGGCTCGTCAGCAGATAGTAGCGGAATGTGTGGGGAGAGGGACGCTGGACTGCATAATTTCAATTTCCATGATTACCTGCAGAGGACTGAGCGACTCCGGCGTGGGCTCCTCGAGACGTGGCCAAATCTGGTGGAGAGACATGATGGCCTCGTTGCAGAATCGCAGACCCATAACCTCCTCGTCCTCGCGGCCGTAGCTGAAATCGGAATGGGAATCGTGGAGAGGACCATTGTTGACATTGAGCAGACACGGCGCAGTTTCAGTCTTAAAAAACAACTCCTCAGAGGCGGACTCACCGGAACGTTAGCGTCAGCTGGGCGTATACGCGATATCCCTGGATGGCCTTGGGGTCCACATAGACAATGCCGCGCAGGACGGACGGATTGTTGCCGGTGAGGGTGAGCTCCCGGGTCGGCAGATATAGGGTCAGCACACAGTTCGGCGAGGTCTTCTTGTAAACGCGCTGCGTGCCAAACTCATCTCTAAGAGTGGTTCTGGGGGAAAGGGGTAAAATACAGTGATTAGAGCAGCGATTTGCGCGAATCTTCAACGAAAAGGGTCAAATAAGGGCATCAAGTAACTCACTCGAACTTATTCATTGATTTCTTCACTTGAAGTACTTAAATCTTGTTCAATTTTATTCAGTTTGCATTCACTTCCTTGCCAATGATTTTCCATATTTTCCAAATTTCTTTATTTGTTTACTTGCAAAAGTTCAAAAAGTTCGAATGAATTACATTTTAAGAAACAAAGTTTAATAGTGCCAAAAGTAAAGCTAAATTCCAAAGTCAGGCCAATTATTCTAATTTGTTAAGAAATAATGTAAAGAATTTTTTAGAATTTTGAAAACTACAAAGAATAGTTTATGGTATATAAAGATCAATGAGAATTTGTGATTTGCAGTTTCTATAATGAAGTGTTAACGTGAGTATGGTGAGTATGATATGATGTAAGTTACGTAATATTACACCCTTACTATGAGCTCTATTATTACTTTACCCCTTATGAACTATTCATAGGAGATATTCAAAAGCTTAAAGTTGCATAAAATTGTATTTAAAGCACCATCGAAGCCATCTATATTCACAACGCACAAATTCATTTTATTTGTGGCTAATCTTAAACTAGTTGAACTTAATTGTAAATAAGTCGACTAATAGAAACTCGACATATGTATAGCATATGAAATACTATCCAAAGGATGCCTTCAGTTTAATGAAAGGAAAGCATTTATTATTTTTGTTTAGAGCTTATCTTTAATTAAAATGAACTCAGGATTACGTAAATCAAATACCAATTATCTACTTTTCAAGCCAAAGGTATTTGAATGCCTTAAACTGTATAAAGAGAATCATACATTAATTATATTTAGAATTTATCTAAGGTTAATGAACTTAAGTTTACAAAAATCTACGTAATATAAACTTGACATGCATTTATTTTTATCGTACAATTGGCACACAATGTGGTATCCAAGTATTCTGGATGCTGAGTTGATTTACCGAATGCATATTTATTTGGGTCTTATCTTAAATTAATGAACTTAAGCTTTCCCACTGCAAACGAACCTAACATGCACTTATTTTGATTGCACAATGGCCCTCAATTGGGCAAATGTGCAGTTCAAGAGTTATTAATCATTTGTGCAACATGCACCCAAGAAGTGGCAGGTTTCCCTCGATGACCACAACATGCCGCTCATTTATAGGCTCAGAAATTTAATTTCCCTTCCGCAGGGCTTTGTGACAGAAATTGGAATGCAGTCAGTTTGACGAATTATCCCTACCTTTGCCAAAGATGGAATAGGCCGGTGCAGATCCCTCCTCGATTTTCCAAACATTTTCCGGGGACACAATGTGGAATTTGGCCTGGGAGAACAATGAAATTGTCCCTTTTTTTGAAGACCACATAGTAGACCTTTTGGTCGACACAAGAGCAGCCAATGTACACTCATAAAAAATACTAATTGTTCCACTTAAATATGTGCAACTTAATACTTGAAAGGCATCAAAAGGAAACTTGTGATATTAATGTTATATTCCAAAAAACATAAAATATCGTGGGATTAAAAATGAAATTACAAAGTAGTTATTAAATTAATACTTATTACTGTTTACTGTCTGTAAGCATTGTTATTTTTTTGAGTGCAGTAGTTAACTGATAATTAATGATTCCAAATTAGTGCTTTCAAAAAACGCTCTTGAAAAGCATACTTCCGATTTTATTTCGAGTGCACACACGCGTTTATGCTGAGCTGGCTGTTAGAGACAGGTGGGCAATTAGCAGGTGCTGCATCTGACATCAGCAAACCAGAGTTCCCAGTCCCATTCGCATTGCGATTCCCTTTTCCAGTTGCAGTTCGAGTCCTTAGAACTGACTTAGCAACCAAATGCTAGCTCCCAAAAATATGCAATTAAATTCGCCGCTGTGCGAAATGAAGGGGACCACCGAGGACCAAAAAAGAGGTCCTGCAAAGGCTGTCTTTTGCCAAATGTTCGAAAGCTCCTTTAGCTTATTATTTTAATTAGAGTTATTCCTGATTATTTGCTCTGAAAACTTGAAGTGCCAAAGAAAAAATTAGTGTAATTTTTGTGCCAATTATTGTAGTCTAAATGCTTAATGCCATTCGGAAATTGTGAAAGTCTACTTGTTGGAAATTAAACATTTGGATTGCCTTCAAAGAACTGAGCACTTTTGACATACACCTGAGACAATTTTGCCTTCAGGGCACAAGTCTGTGAAGGTAGTGAAATTAATTCAAAATACTGGAGGTTATTCGGCGGCACACAGCGCACGAATGGAAGTATTTTCTTTTGGTGCAACAATGCCTCAAACGCCGGCTATTTGAGCTGACTTGAAAGACCGCAGTCTATCCAGCTAAGCGCATAGTTAAAATTTAATGAGAGAACGGATTCCCTAGGGTTTTTCCTCCGGCGACAGAGGTAAGAAAGGTGTGGTAATGGGGAAAGTTTCAGCTTACAGGGCCTTGCGGCTTTTCGCAGCTTCGCTCTAGATTCACTTGCGGTGTTCGGAAGCCAAATAAATCAACATTTCCTGCGAAATCAGCGAGTTTTTATGGGGCGGTTGGCCTGAATAAAACTGCAATCCTAGATGCCGAAGCACTGGGAACACACAATTTCCATTTTTGAATAATGGTCTCCGTCTGTTGCATATTACCAAAATAAAGGCTGTCAAAGACGAAATACGTTCGAAATAAGTTGTGTGCGCTAATGTGTAAGAAATCATTTCGCACACGATACTAATATCATTTTTCCAATTATTTTGCATTATTTCTGGTGTGGCACTCTTGAGTTTAAAACATGTGTTTTTGCATTCCGATCACATCATTATGAAATACATCTCATTTTTTTTGCTCTCTTTCGCGTTTTAATTCAATTTACACACGCTGTTAGGAAATGATTTCGCGACTATTTGCATAATTTTCAATAGATCTGATTTGGATTTAGTCTTGCATAAATTTATTAAATATAATGTTCAATTTAAAGGTGATGAATAAAAACCCAAATTATCTGTGTTCATGAAATCCCTTTAACCAAGTCATTTTATGTGTCCTTCAGACTTAAGGGCAAATTAATTAAAGGATATTAAAAAATATAGCAATGAATAAAAAGTGGCGAAAAATAGAAAAAAATGTTATTAAATAAATGAAATCGCGGCAGCCATTTGAAACGAATAACTAAATCTTTTGCCACTTGCATGATGGAATGTACTTGTTTTATAATTGGCATTTAAGTTGCATGCAATTCTAACATTGTTATTTTCGTATTATTTTCCGTTTTTTATCGTTTGCAACAGATGAATAAACAAAATCCGGCTTTCAGAAGAAGAGATTGGCGTAACGTTTGAGTTTGTATTTCATGGCAGATGTTAATCCGCTTACGGATTACTGCAACTGCATACAAACTTGGCAATTCAAATGTCCCGACGGAGTGGCACAGCTCTTTCATTAGCAACCGATTGCTGGAACCCCATTATTTATACTGCTATTAAAAGCTAATACCCTGCCCTTTTCCAACGAACATCCTGTTGACATTCGATTACTTGGAGGTGGATATGCCCGATGAAGATAGAGCGAAATGGCAGCAATGAATCTCAGTTTAATGACACGAACTTGGAAACCAATTCGCTGAAGGATCAATGAAGGGCCTTCTCCGATAAAAGTTGAGCTACCCGCCTGCAGATAATCCAAAGCTATGACAGCGGTTGATCGATGGGTTGGGGTTCTTCAAGGCAGATGGTGCTCTGAGCCTCCTGCAATCCACCTGCAGCCTCCCCATTGTGATGCAATTAGCGGCCAAGGTCACGGTCGATGGATAATGCAGAATGCAGGAAATCAAATCGGATTCGCAAGGGGCGTGGGCAAAAGAGCAAATGAATGAGCATGTCAACAGAAACAGCCAAGGTCGACCGCCTGCTCCACTCTGCTCCTTCCTTAATGGGCTTTACCACTTGATGCAGCTGTCCAGGAGCAGATCCCCAACCCCCTCACCCCTTAATTGCATTGCCATGTTGCCGACTGACCCTGAAGCCCGGGATTCACCGCCGCTGACCGGCCATCTAAGTGGGAATCGCTCTCCGCTAATTCGATTTATACACTTGTCAGCTGCGAGGATATCTCGCCCCAACTACATTATTCAGCCGCAATTTATCAGCCGCTGTTGGTTAGTAATTAATTCATTTTCCACGTGCCGTCGTGACTGATGGGGCGTTGAGCCACAGCGGATGTGTCAAATGTTAAGGGGCGACATTCGAATCCGTTCATTTCGCACAAACATGCAATTTGCCAAGTTAAAATCAGACTGATACGAAACGGACTGCAATTTTAATACCCATTCAGAGGGTATTCTAATTTTAATTAGAAGCTTTCAGTTCTTTGATCCGTTTTTATGTTTCCAATTACTAATTGCAAAAGGGTGACCCCAAACTGCAGTTTCAGCAACCATAACATAACCCGTTGTATCCGGTTTACAAAGGGACATGTTCTCTAAAAATTTGCATTCCAATTTGTCTTTCTACTATTGGTCATATTTCTACCAATGTTTATGTTAATCTGTTTTAAAGTTGGCTTGCAAAATAGACTAATCGAACACCGATTTTAAAGTTTAATAAGTCTGGAAGTTTGTAATTACAATCTTAAATCACGAATTATTTGATTGTTGTCAAATTTATCAAAATTTATCTCAGCTCTTATCGTTCGGTAAGCAATTTACTTAATCTCAAATGACTACACCGAATTGACTCCCCTTTCCACAGTTACAAACAATTTGAGGCTCTGGGAAAATAAACCTGTCAAGTGCATCAAGCCGGAACACTCGTTCAATCCAATTATGTTGTCGGTTTGTCAGCGTTGCTTGTGATATCTTACATGATAATTGCTCCCCACGTGGCCTAAACACCATAATTACTTAATTTTCACTGGAATCGAAATTTAATTTGGCTCGGAAAAATACGTTTAGGTGGGTGGCAAAGTGGGCGGTCAACCTTCGCTTGTGGCCACTGTCACTTAATCCACTTATCCCCATTGCGAGTCGCAAACCCAATCTCTCATCGCGTCAAAGGTGGCTCGCGTGCTCAAGTCCCGGGTTTCGAGTTCCCCAGCTGGGTTTTTATTGCCTCCTCATCAGTCCAGGTCCCTAGTCCTTAGTCCTTGTCCGAACCCGAACCTGAACCCGAAACTCCCCACTGCCACTCCATTTGTTCTTTGATTTTTGGACTGCCGCATTGTTTTATTGATATGAAGTACGCATTGTCGTAGTTGCTGTGTGATTTGAAGAGGGTTTATTCACTCTTACGTGAAGCAAGTGGACTTCGAGTTGGACTTTAATCCTTGAAAGTACCAAGACCTAATCTTGCTCGACATTTTTCATCTGCTCAGGGTTGCAATTGTAAAAGTATTAAAAAATATAATCATTTGAAATGCCCCACTGCAACAAGTTTTGAAGGAAGTTTTGCAGCAGTCTTTGGGCAATTATAAAGATTAATTCGTAGCGTATGTGAGTGGCAAGGAAAACTTTAAAGTTATTCTTTGACTTTAAGTGCATCTGTTTAACTAGATAAGTAAATAAAAAAATAAAACAAATAAAAAGGAAGAGCACCATTTACACATAGACTTACACTCACGCATGGCTTGTGTTTATGTACTTAGGAAAAAAGTGTCTGATTTATTTTAATTTGGAAAAAAAAGGTCCATTAAATTAATCATTATTTTAAATTGGACGTTAATTTAATTAAAAGCATAACAAATGGCATATCTGTTATATATGCTACATGCTGAAACCATTTTTGTTCAACGCAAAAGACTTATTCTGTGCTTTTATTTTTACTCTGTAAATTATTTATAGAAGTACTAATTAATATCTAACTTATTCATTTATGTATTTGCTATTGTTATATTTCTATATAATATGTTTATGGTACACACTGCCGATTCCTAAGACGAACATAATAACTTATTAGTAAAGTATTAATGTTGAAAATGTAATTCAGAAAAAGTATCATTAATATATGCCTACGATAAGTAAACAATTAGCATTAAAAAAAAGTATTAATATTAGGTAATTAATTAAAGTAATAATTAAGTTAATTATATGAGAGAACATATTATATATTATATATATAAATATATGTGTGTTTGCCATGGAATATATGTAAGCTAAGTTCGATTTAGTTTGCATTACGTGTTATGCAGTTATTTTACTCATGATTTGAATTCCATATCTATACGCATTTGAGAGATGGATATTTTGGGTCCGCCACTGCCCCCTTCCTTTAATTTGCTGCTCCTAGCTGCTTAGCAGGACATTAAGTATGCGCCCGAGTGGCCCGAGCGTCATCAGCAGCTGTGTCTTGTGTTTTGGATTTTGTGTCTGTTGTGTCTTGTGTTTTGGGTCTTGTGGCAGGTGGTGTTTTCTCGAAATGGCCCAACTACCTGTGCAGTTCACAGAACTCCTGGCTGGTCGCCAAGTCCAGGAGCAGCTCCTCGGTGTGGAAGCTCACAGAGTGCCGGAGAGTGTCGCCGGCAGAAGACATCTCCAGCTGGGAACTGCTAAGATGCGGGCTGCCCAGCGATTGCTGGCTCTGTGACTGAGACTGCGACTGTGACTGCGACTGTGGTGACCCCGATGCTGCCAGCCTCATGGAGCTCACACTCAGCCCTAAAGGCAGGAGGTCCATTAACTGTGTGAAGCGGCTCGGACGCTTGTGGTTGGTGTTTGTGCGAATGCTGATGTTGCTGCCGTTTGCACTGCGGTCGTTGGGCAATAAGGTATCATCATAATATCATCAGCAGCAGCAACAGTCGGACAGATTAATGTGGAGAAATGACAAAAAGTTGGTTACACACGTAGCCATTATGGCTGAATACAGGGGGATATATGCTCATTATTTATATATATTTAGTAACTATATGTACACATTTCACCTGCATATCTGTGTGTATTGTGTACTGCGTATTGCGCATTTAATTTCATTTGATTTCGGGTTAAGCCCCGTTCGAGTTTTTATCGCCAAGGGTGTATATTTAGTGTTTTTAAGTATTATACATCTGTTTGTTTTCTTTGTTTGTTCGCCTGTTTATTTGTTTGTTTACTCTGGCCCCTTGTATGTTGTCTATTGGTGAAGTGTTTTTATTTTTATTTTTTCACGTTCATGATTTGGCCCGTTTTTATGCCCTTTAACTTTTTACGACCTCTCATTTTAATGCGTCATAAAATGAAAAGTTTTTTGCTCTTTTTCCATTCTTTTCGCTTGTTTAGCTTTGTACACAAATGTTAAATGGTGATTTTATTTCGTTTGTTTTTTTTTACATATTTGCAGAGTTGGGAAGGCTTTTTGTTAATCTACCCAAATGATAGGAGACTGTGGCATGCGGGCTTAAGAATCACGAAGGAGGAGGAATGATCTGCACTTTGCCTTTCCTCTCGTTTAATTGGACAACATGTCTGTGGTCTTTATTAATGTACATGACACTTGGCTTACAGGGCGTATAAGTTATTTCCGCAGGCATTGGAAAGTATTTAAGCATACATATAATTTACAGTAGACCATAGGTCTTTAAATATACTTCAAGCCTTAAGTAATTGTTTATGTAAATTAAGCCGCTTCATACCGAATTGTCAGTAAATATGCAATACAGTTGCAGTCCGTTTATCTGTTTTTTTATTATTGAATATTAATAAGCGATATTCAAGCGGTTTATTTACACAATCGAGTCAATGAATGGAAAAATTCCCTTATTAAATGAACTCGTTTATTTGGGGCTTTGCCTTTCAATTTTTTTCGAGCCATTCTGTGTTTCATTTTGTAAGAAATACTATAGCAATATATGTTGCCAAAACAAATGCTATCTGAAAGAACATTTACTCTGTAGTCTTAATAATTTTACGTTACTCCTTGTATTAAATAATAAATAATAAATAAACATGAAAAAATCCATATCTTCACAAATTAAAATTGCAAAGTTATATTTGAAAAATGGGAATAAATGTGTATTATTAAATTACTTTCTGTTTACTCGACTCCCAACCTCAATTGTTTATCCGTTGTGAAGTTCTCCGGAATTCTTTTCTTTGGCTTGGGGTTCCTATGATGAGATTTATGTGCGTTTCCGGTGGGTTTTCTGCCTTGGGTGTGTGTGTGCGATATTATTTTTATTGTAATTTAATGAGTTCTGAGCCTAGGGCAGTCCTCGCCGAGCTGGGACATCCAAACACTGGGCGGGGGAATCGGGAAGTGGATTTACGAGGATGTGAAGTGAGTGTGTGTGCGGCTTTGGGGGATTTTTGTATTTTGCGGCAACTGGCAAAGCCCATCATCATCAGCAGCTGAGACAGCTTCCAATTGCGCCTTAATCAGTCAGCTGTCCCCTGCCCCGCCCTCTTGCTTATCCCATGGTCATAAGTCCCACTCCTGGCATTTTACTTTAAGTGCCACCTTAAAGGTTTCGGGCAACATGAAATTCCCGTTTGTCTATCCTTTTAAAAGGTGATTGTTATTTTCAAAGGAATGCAAGTTATTGCACAAGTTATTTCAAGAAAAATAACTCTGCAGAACTGCATTTTATTAAATAGATGTTAGTCTACAAAATCGATAATAAGCCAACAAATTAACAGCCTTATAATTAAAGTAAATAGAGATATATAATTTAAATGCTTATTAAAAAGTTGAGTTTAAAATATATAAATACAAGGCTAAGACGTTTTGAGTAAAAACCTGTTATTTCATTTCCTGTGAACTTAGGATGCTGAACTAAAAATACAATTTTAGCATGATATAGTTAACCCAATCGAAGTACCGATATGAATATTTATTTCTTGTTCATTGCTTCCATCCTAAAATCACGATACGGTAAGTGAAATGTTATGCATAGGCACACAAGTTGGGGCTTTGAAGCTCTGTGGAAAATGAGAAAAGCGAGAAAGAAAAGCACTGGGTAGAGCACAAAGCGAGAAAGCAGGAAAATAAAAAGAAAGGTGCTTCTCGGGCATGTAAATCAATAAGCTATCAATTACTTGGCCAGAGTAAATATTGATGTGAACCTGAACGAGTGTGTTCCACATGTGCCCATGTGTGTGTGGGCAACACACTATGTTTATTAATAACTCAGAATGCCATCCGCCCAGGAAAATGGAACAAACTTGTTAGCCAAGCTAAAAGTCTTCGGGGCACAAAGCGAATTCCCCGGTAATGGAGTCCGATTGTGGCACTATACATGTTGCCTCCGCACTCATTAAACAGCAATTTATGCGTTCAGGGCGCTCTTATGTACATATCTTTAACAACAGTTACCCGTTTATGGCCAAAACGAGTACGAAACTGCCAAGCGAAAGTTTTTCGGCACTTGAACTTGGGCGAAACCACACGAAACTGATCACTCTACACAGAACTGACCGAGCCAACTTCCTTTCCAACTCATTTGCCTGAATAACAGGTCGTTTATTGTTGCCAGCTCAAAACCGTATTTAACTACATAAGTTTAACAATAAGTTCGTAATTACTTGTGTCTGAAGAGGCCCTTTAGACTATAAACTTGTATTTAGAAATCTCTTATAATCTGTTTACCTAAATTTTGTTATCCCCTATATTTATTTCCTGCTCAAGCTGCCACATAGGTGCATAGTTTTTTGGGAGGAATTAATTTATTTTAACAGATAATGTTCCAAAGAACTTCTGAAAAAACTTTTTAAATTCGAATATTTTTGAAGTTTTAAATATATTGCGCTGCTCAGGCATCACCAGAATATGCGTGCCTAATCCAATTCTGCGTAAATTTATGGAAATGCCAACAGTGCGTATGAGCAATCAATTTTTAAGACATTGCTATTACTTTAAGTACTCAAAGGGAATATGTTTAAAGAGATGATAGAATGTTCCTCAATTTTCATTAACGTAGTTAGACAGTGTTCAATAATACAAAATGTATTTTAGGTTTAATAAACTTTAATCAAAACAAAATATACAGAGATTTGACGTTTTGAATTTTAAGAAAACTAAATCACTAGGAGTGTTCATGACTCACTAGTTGTGAGCTAAATTCAAATTACCACCAATACACTTAACCTGATTTGAGGCTTCTAATGCGCATATTGATTGGAGTGTTGTGCCCGCATAAGTAGGCAATACTCCCGAGTGAACTTTTGGGCCGCAAGTCGAATGTTTCCGGACTTAATTATGTTGGGCCAAGAGGCCGAGATACGGTGCTCCACTTTTGGCAACTTTTGCCTGGGCCAGCAAAAAACAAATGACAACAAGCAGCTGAGCAGCTGAGCAAATGATGAGGGAACTGCCTACAAGCAGCTCGAGTCAAATTAGCAAACATTTAGGGAAATATTTGCGCAAAAAGTCTTTTTCTCCGTCAATTGGCCAAGCCCAGCGATCAAATGAGCCGCAGCTGTGTACACACGGCTGTCTGTGTGTGTGTGTGTGTGAGTGTGCAGGATGTCGCATCCTGTCTCTCAGTGTGTGTGTGTGAGTGCCACTGCCTTTGGGCATTTTGGTTAGGAACTGAAAGTTTGTCGTGGCGAACTTTTTCGAGAAAGGAAGAGATGTGTGCCAACAACTTAGTAACAGCTTTGAGAAACGACAAAGTTGACTGACTGTTTTGTGTTGTGGTTTGCAATTGGACCTTCTTCCATCAGCCTGGTTACATTTCAATGTACGAAACTGAAAGGAATTCGGGAGGAGAAATGAATTGAAACCATGTTTACCTTTCCTTTTCACTTAGCTAATGCAACTTTTTTCGACTTAGAAGCCCAAGCAAAAAAGCTTTAAGGCTTAATGCAAAACTCTCTTTGGGATGTAATTAAGTACTGAGGTCATGCATCTGTAACACTTCACGATAGATTAATTATTATCTGAGAAAACGGCCTTTTCACCACTTTAAAATGGAAATAATCGTAATGCTCTGATTACTTTCAATTTAAATTTATGATAACGGAAAAAGGAAAGAAATTAGGGAGAAAAACACGCAAAAAGGGAAAATAATCAATAAATTAAAACTGTTGGCAAATTACCCTGTCAACAACTGTAAAACCGCAAAACAATTTAATTGCCGCTTGTAAGCCAGTGCGAAAAACGAAAAAAAACCGAACTCAATCTGTCACACTTTGATTATAAAAAGGATACCACAAAAATGGGTAAATGACGGGGTGCGAGGACTATATATATATTGATATGAACGATGACATGAAATGTATCGCAAAAATGATTTGATGCCAACCCAATTTGCACTTCAGCTGAGCGCTGACCCGGCGATTGTCACGCATCGAATGCAGTGGCACGTGTCCAGGATCACGACCCCCCCACCCTGGCCACGCCCCCATCCCCTCCCCTTCGCCCCCATCCGCTCCCCTCCCCTCCTCTCAGCTTAGCAAACGCTTAGCCAAAAGCGACGCGTAACTAAATCTGTGGCAGCAACATCAAGTAGCCGCCATCACGTCCCTTTTTCCCTTCGCTTTCGTTTGCATTTTCGTTTCCGCTTCCGCCCGCCATTTTGCCCATGTTCGTGTGTGTGCTAGTGCGTGTCTAAGCACGTTAAGTGTGTGTGCTTTGAAGTTTTTATATCTGCATACAAATACAAATGCGTGTGCTCGGCGCTCGCCCTCCCCTCCCCCTTCATCCTTTTTATATACTGTGTTTGCTTTGCGTTTTGTGTTGTTTGCGTTAAACCAAAAAACCATAAAAAGCATAAAAATAAAAGAGAGAGTAGGCCGCTTTCTAAAATACCCTGGCAATAGTTGTATTGTG